CATGCAGGTTCATTCCCTCAAACGTCAAGGACCTGGGCCCCAACTCAGAGGCGCAGTCCCCGACCCCCTCGTCCAGAACTCACGAACAGAGCAGCCAGGGAGCTGTCCTAAGGCCCAGTGCAACCAAACGCCCACCACCGAGTGGGCGCTGACTCACAGAGACCCTCCAGGAGGGGTAGAAACACCCCGGTGGGTTTCTGAAACTGTAACTCTTTACAGGAGCAGAAAGCCTCCTCACTCTCCCCAGGGGCAGCTGGTGGTTTCAAACTGTTGACCTCGCAGTTAGCAGCCCAATAGGAATGACAGAATTGCAACCCCAAACCAACCCCGGGTCCAGACACCCACCTCCGGTCTCCAGGTCATGGAAATTGGGGTCCAGGCCGCGATCCAGCATCTTGACGACCTTGTCCACTGAGCCATGCTGGATCTGGTCCATGAACTTCCTCAGGTTGGTCTGAAGGGAAGCGTGGGATGACAGTTACACCTGCAATGCCTGGAGGGTGCCAGGCCCTGGATGGTGACAGCCTGGGTGTGCTCTGGCCTGTCTCCCTTGGGCTGCACTAGTGAGGACCCCTCCCCCATCTGCTGGGCCCCCGGTTCCTATGGCTGGAAGCCCCCAGGCCAAGGGTGGAGAGGCGATGATTTGAGCTCAATCAGTTCTCCTTGTGTGTGAACTTCAAACCCTGCACCGCCCACTGCCTTGGCCCGGAACTACAGCTGCCACAGCCCCAGAAGGGCTTAGGAGAATGTCTGACCCACATCTGTGGGGGAGACGTGGCACCAGTGTCCGTGGCTAACCTCAGCTGGTGGCAAAGTGGTTACATGTTGGACTGCTAACCATCGAGGTCAGCAGTTCAAAACCATCCACTACTCCTAGGGAGACCGGCGGAGTTTCCACTTGATGGCGCCAAGTTTGGAGATTTTGGCTTTGAAATGTCGGCTCAGGAGTCCCGGTGAGGCACACGATGAGCCAGGAAGCTATGAGCCATTCCTCTGAGGAAGATGAGGCTCACTGTCCCGATAAAGATTGACCGTCAGCCTTAGACCCCCACAGGAGAAGCTCTACTCTGTCCTGTGTGATGGCTGTGAGTTGGAATCGACTCTCTAGCAGTGAGAGAGTTTGGGTTGAAATGTCAGCTATGTTTAGGGTTGCTAACACCTATTTCGGCAGTTCAAACCCACCAGCCGCTCCACGGTAGCACAACGAGGCTGTGTGTTCCTGTAAAGACTGCAGGCTCAGGAACCCAGCATCAGTGGGTGATTTGGGACTTCACCTCTAAAAGAGGTGCCCTGGTGGTACAGCAGCAAGTGCTTGGCTGCTAAGCGCAAGGCCAGGGGTTAGAACATCCCTCCTCCCCTGCTCTGAGGGAGAAAGGGGCAGCACTCTGCTGATATAAAGTTTAAAAATAAAAAAGTTTAGAACGCACTGCTATGGATCTATTTCAACTCATGGCAACCTTGTCTTCATAGAGTTTCAGAGACTCCATGTTTACAGGGACATGCAGCCTCATCTTTCTCCATGGGAGCAGCTGGCGGGCTTGAACTCTCAACTTATAGTGAGCAGCCAACCCCTATCCAGGGATTACACCCTGGGGTGCCAGCTGGGACAGTTAGCGTCCCACAGGGCCCATAGGAGCTAGTACTGGCTGGTGGACTCAGTTTGTGGGTTTTCAGAGCATTGATAAAGCTGGTGGCACCGTGGTTAAGTGCTTGACTGCTAACTGAAAGGCCAGTGGTTTGAACCCACTCACAACCACCCCTCGGGACAAAGACCTGGTGACGTGCGGAAGAGTCCAGCAGAGGGGACCCTGTGGGACGTTCTGCTCTGTCCCAGGGAAGCATGGCCCATCTCTCCAATGAGGGGGCTGCTCATTCCAATGGCTCCACCCCCACTCAGCCCCACGGCCACACGGGCAGAGGCAGCGCCTGATCACTGTGGAGCTCAACGCAAAATCAACCGTGTTCTCCCCGGCCACTCAGCCTTGAAGGTGGGGTGTTGTGATCCAGCGCTGCTACAACAGAAGTACCACAAGGGGGTGGTCTTCACAAACTAAAATCTATTTTCTCACCGCCTAGGCAGCTGAGCGCACCAGTTCGAGGGGAAGGCTCTTTTTCTGTGTCGGCTCTCGCGGGAAGCGCTAGCCTCCTGAGTGTCTGGTCCTCTTGGTCTTCAGGTGGCATGGCATTATGGCATGCTCATCAAGCCCCTGGGGGCTTGCTCACTTGGTTGTGAATTTCCTCTCACAGCCTGGGCTAATGCTGCCCCGGAAAACAACAGAGACAGCCCAGTCCTGGAGGGAATTGTCAGCGCAGGCATCCCTCCAGGACACAACACAGCCCAGAGCCCAGAGAAACCCTGCCCATGCTCTGACCACCGTCAGCCACGAGAGCACTGCCAGCGTCCTGCCCGTTCAGCCTGGGCTGCCTGCTGCACCCAGGACACCCCCACCAGGCGAGGCCCACTGCCTCCCCTGGCCCGACCTTCCCCACAATGCCCGCCTCTCTGACAGCAGCTCAGTGCAGCTGGGAGTTCTGCCCAAACGTCTCCATGCTGCCCAGGGCCCTTGAGTTCACACAGACCCAAAGGGAGCTGCGGTTGGATCTCAGGGCTATTTGCAAGGGATGGTGCAACAGAGGCCGTGTGCTGGCGGGAGGGAACCCCTCCTGTGTTTGCTAGCAGTGTGGCAGAGTGGCAGAGGCCAGGAGCTGGAGGGGGTTGGGCATGTGCACCTGGGACTAAGACTAGACACAGGGCCATGAGAACCCATGAGAACGCCCTGGGCACCAGGAGAGCCCAGGGACCCATCCGGATGTAAAGGGAGTAACACAAGAACTAGAGGGTGCAGGGTAGAGGAAAGCTCTCCCTGGGCTCTCTCTAGGTGAGTGTTCCTGGGGACATCGAGGATTCCTCTCTGATTCACACTCCCCCTGTGTTATGAAGATGTGCTATTGGTGTCTTCTGAGCTAAAAGCACACGCGCTGGACTGGGGCCCACGATGGGAACGTCCTCTACATGCACAGCGCCTCACTGATGGAGACCTGCAGGCCCCACGCTGCCTGTGACGTTTGCCCAGCTGGACACATGCTAGGAGCACAGGTGTGCACAGGTGTATGCAGGTACAGACAGGTGGGTTCAGGGACACATAGGGTGCACAGATACGCATAGGAGGTGTGCGCAGGTATATGCAAGTGGGCAAAAGGTACACATAGGTGTTCACAGGTACACACAGGTGTGCATAAGTATACTATATGCACAGGTACACATAGTATGTGAGGTAGTTAATTTATTGTGCCAACCTGGCTGATAAACACATATGGGGTTAATTGAAGGGCGTGGGAATAAATGGCTCAGTGAGCCTCGCCTTTCTAGTTCTCAGGTCTCTTGCTTTATGATGATCAGACAAGGGTGCAGCTGCCTTAGCCAGTTCCCTGCTTCTGCTAGTAAGGCTCACTTCCTGCAAGACATACCCAAGGAGAAGCTACGTGGACCTACCCCGACGCAGCCCTGGGTGCTAGAGCAGCCGTGTGGAGACCCCTGGCAGCACTGAGATGCTTACACACTCACTGATTCGGCTTTCCTCCTGCAGTCGGCCTCATAATGTGTATTTTGTGAGATGGAGGAGGACTTTGTGGATTGGTGTTAGACATATGGGTTAATGTTGGACTTGTGGGCTTGGGCAGCACTGGGTTGAAATGTTTCCTTGATATGCACTTACCCTTTATATAAAACTCTCTCTCTCATACATGAGTTTCTGTGGATTTCTTTCTCTAAAGTACCCAGACTAACACAGTATGCATTGTTATGTACAGGTATACACATGTGCATACAGGTGTGCACAGGTATACACAGGTGTGTGCAGGTACACACAGGTGTGCAAAGGCACACCAAGTATGTACACATATGTACAGGTGTGCACAGATACAGACAAGACACAGTATGTGCAGACAAACACCAGCACTCCAGGTACCACAAGCAAGGTCCTTTCTGTTAGCCTCCTGTGGTAGTAACATAATCTGTTGTCAATTTGGGGATCAAGAGTGAGGGGTGGAATTTAACCCTGTCAATAAGGCAGCAGTTTGATTGGAGGGCAAAGAGGTAAATAGCTTGCAGACTCACTCCCTGAAAGGCATTTCTGAGAAGCCACTTGAAGCTCCCCTGAGGCAGTCAGAGTTTTGAACCTGAAGGAACCACATGAAGACCCCTGCCAGCCACTGGATCCACAAGACTTCCCACCCACCGGCCTGTGATCATCCTGCAGTCGGAGTCATTGCATGTGTTGCATGGGTCTGAAGAGGACTTTATAGATTGGTATCGGACATATGGGCTAATATCAGACTTATGGACTTGATCTGGACTGTGCTGGGATGTTTTCTTAATGTACAATTGCTCTTTATATAAAGCTCTTTCTTATACACATGTGAGTGTCTATGAATTTGTTTCTAGCCCACCCAGACTAACACACCTCTCTTCTTTACTCCCTCAGGTGTCACTTGCACGCTCACCTTGGTGTAATTTTAGGTAACCAGCACTTTTGCAGTAGTCATCAACTTTGTACAGATGCAAGAGAAAAAAAAAGTACCAACATGCTGTCCTCCACTGACATACCAAAATCACTGCATTCACACCGGTTCCATCTCACAGCGACCAAGCCTATGGGACAAGGTAGAACTGACCCCCTGGGTTCCCCAGACTGCAACTCTGGAGGAGTCGAAAGCCTCATCTTTCTCCCAAAGAGTGGCTGCTGGTTTTGAACTGCTGACTTTCTGGTTCATAGCCTAATGCATAGCCCGCTACATCACAGGGCTCCTTCACGGGCATAACAACTCAACTAAAAAACAAGCAGCTGTCATCCACTTGATTGTGACTCTTGGTGGCACCCCCCCCCCCAAGTGTGTCCACGCAGAATTGGGTCCCACGGGACTTTGTCATTGCCATCAGGCCAAAGCTGATTCAGAGAGGCCCTATGGGACAGGGTAGAGCTGCCCCTGTGAATTTCTAAGATTGCTGGCTGTTATGGTCGAAGAAAGCCTCCTCTTTCTCCCAAAGAGCCTATGGTGGTTTTGAACTGCTGATCTTGCAGTTAGCAGCCCAATGCACAACCACTATGCCGCCACAGGGGCTTCTATGTCAGTGGCCAATTTTTCACCAGTGGACCACCAGGCCTGCCTTGGGAGGCTTGTCTGGGTGGATTCAAACCACCCACCTTTCAGTGAGCAGCTAAGCATAGGAAGGGTTGTGCCAGGGACTCAGGGCACTACCGGTGCTCAATTTCTGCTTGGTGGAAGAAGAGCTCTTCGCCCCAAGAGCCTTGCAGGACAGAAGACACTCTGCCGAGAGTGGACACCCCAGCTCAGCACTCCCCCCACCTACCTTTGTGTGAAGCTTGGTCAACTGTCTCTCGTCGAGATTGGCTTGTTTATATACCCGCTTCTTGTACCGGAACTGGCACAGAAATAGAAAAGAAAAACAAACAAACAAGTAAATAATTCACATGGCTGTTGGGGGGGAGTTAGCATCTCCCTGAAGATGGACTCTATGGTCAGTGTCTGACACACACACACACACACACTCACACACACTCACACAC